AATAAAAGGGGATTGAGATGTAACTCAGTGGTACAGTGCCCCTGTGTCCAATCCCCACTACTGCCACAAAAGGCACGAGGGGGGGGGAGGCGGGGGGAGGCAGGGGGCGGGCTGGGGTTGTGACTCAGTGGCAGAGTGCATGCCTTGCACATGTGAGGCACTGGGTTCAATACTCAGCACCACATAAAAATAAGTAAAATAAAGATACTGTGTCCATGTATAACTAAAAAATATTTTTTTAAAAAAAATGGTTCTTAGTTTCAGGAAGTTTACAGTACATCAACTGTGCCAGTCAGTGATCTCTATGATCATGGGAAAGTCACCTGACACTTTGGGCCTCAACTATACCAAATGTTAATTCTTTGGCAACAAATGAAAGCAGAGTATAAGGGTATTCAAAGAACAAACTTATGTGAACTTGCTCCACAAAGGCTGTTTAAATATAACTGTTTGCTTAATATTGATGTTTTCTACCACTGATACCACAAATCACTTATTCTATACCGAGTGCTAGCTAGGAGGCATGGGAACCTTGGCTTCTTACTGCTCTCAATAGCCCCACCACCATCAGTCCCAGAGAAGGCTCAAGAAAGTCCAAGGACCCTTGGACCAACTGAGGTTGTTGGGTCTTCCATGAGTCATGGTGAAATATCAGGTCATACCAAGTTAAACGGGGTTCTTCACCCATTCATTTAGCCACATATTCATCAAGTGCCCTGTGTTTGTGGAATTCCCTGGAGGAAAAGATAGGAGCAACATTTAAAATTTGACTTTACTGATTTTGATAGGAGCTTAAAGAAAAGTGTCCTCAGATAGAGCTACACCAGAAAAGATTTCCATTGGTTCAGCTGGTCCTCTGTAAGGAAGTGGGACTTTGGCTGACACTTAAACAAGAAATTACCCATACAGAGAAATAGGGTATACCAAGCACAAGAAACTTTACAAACACTCCAAAGTTGAGGAAATGCTATGAGTGTTCAGGAGCTGCACTTCTCATGAGCTTGGTTTTCAGAATACCTGAACGGGTTCTGTGAATTCTGCCAGGACACACTCACATCAGACTTCCACAGACAGGCAAGTCAGTTGTGTGTTCAAATTGAAAGGAGACGATGTGAAAATCTGATTTTTAAAATGACTAAATTCAACAATGATAATCACCTACATTCTTATTTCAAAGATAGGGGAAATGGGGAGAAGTGCAAATTGCAGGACACTGCTTTCACTGGTCATCAATAAATGTACCATGAGAGTCTGACCTGAAGTAAGAATTATTATTTAGTAGCAGAAAAGCATCATACACTCCCTTATAATTAGATTTTAGCATCTAATTATATATTCCCATTTTTCTTTTGTTCTGGGAAAATTCCCATAATTTACCTGATTTCTTCTATGGTTTCTGAATGAATACTTAGATAAATGCACAGGAAAATACTGGATTTTTTTTTTACCTTTAAGATATTTCCTAGATTCTTAAATAATTGTAACTCATCTTCTGCATTATACATCCAACTGGTTAACTTACAAATTACTTAGACAATCATATAAGTGAAAGGCAGTTTTTAATTAAAGACAAAAAACAAAAACAGGATCCTAGGGGCTGGGGTTGTGGCTCTGTGGTACAGCCCACTTGCCTAGCACATGTGAGGCACTGGGTTCAATCCTCAGTGCCACACAAAAGTAAAATAAAGGTATTATGTCCACCTCTAACTCAAAAATATACCAAAAACATGACATTAAAAAAAAAAAAAAAAAAAACGGATCCTTAACAAATACGCCAGTCTTTTCAATGAATCTCTGTCATCTTCCATTTTCTTTTAAGAACCTCTTCAAAAACAAAAATGATAGCTTTCAAATGGTTTTGAGAATGGCCTAATTCTCATTTTCTTCCATGGCCAAAAACTCAGAATCAGATTATGCATCTGCTATTTTTCCACATTCAAAACTATTTCTGAAGGCCAGAGTAACTGTATATACATAAGGGATGTAGGGTTTGGGCCCAGAGAGAGTTAAATTAATATCCTGGCTTGACCAGTTCAACTTACCGTACATCTTCATTTGCCCAGTAACACAATCTATAGCCAACTGCTAACCAAGTCAATATGTGGTAAGACTAACAGCCACCCTAACTTGCCTTGATAATTATTCTCCTTTAACTGACATAATATTCAATATACTGTTGTTGAGAGCAATAATGTTAAAATTGATGCCTTGAGGGCTACAAGACAATTGAGTTTTAGCCAGATAAAATGACTTGTACACTAATAGTGCATTATAGGGTTTCACGGCCTTCAGATGCACATTTTATAGTCTACCTGCACAAAAATGCCATATATAATTATATTCAAAGTCATTTGTGCATACCTTATCATTAGCACGTATAATTTTTAAAGATTGGCTAATAATCAAGTAACAGCTTTAGAAGAAAGGGGTTTATTTATTTTTATAGTCTAACTCTTTTTTCTTTTTGAAAATGAGTGTTTTCTCACTAAATGATTGAAAATGGTTTTATGTCCTACAACCTTTTACTTTTTTTCTAACCCAAGCACCATTTCCACAAGAAACAAGCATATTATAAATGTAGAATGACAAAAAGCATCATTTAAATAAAATCTATATTTCATCAATTCTATCAATAAAACAAGACAGAAACTAACTTGGAGTTCCTCTAATAAAAAAAAATCTGATTTTCTGAAAATGTCAATTGTAGACTCTAACTGAAGAACTATTTATATTAAATTTGAGATTTGTAAAAATTTGTATTAATTATAATTTAAGCATCACAATAAATGACAGTGTTCTTTATATATAATATTTTACTCCCAAATGAAAGACTTTATACATGTTTGTTGTTTTTGCTGAATATTTCTTTCACACTTAATTTCATTTGCAATTTTTTATCTTGAAATTTTGGGCCTTCATTCCAAATAGAAATACAGAGTACATTTTAAAGTACATTTTCTACACTTGACTTAAAGATATGTTGAGATAAAATTAATACCTAAGTAATTATTTAAAGAAAAAAACAAAACCTCTAGTCAAGGCAGGACAGTAGTACCCTACCATAGAAAAACCAGCAGGCTCTATATGGCTGTCAAAATGCTATAGCAAGGTGCTACAGGGTTGTTTTTTACAGTAAATTTGCAGAGCCATGCACGGATCTAACTGTTCGAATAGAATGACACAATGCATATGCTCCCGCTATCTTAGGCAAAAGGTGTGGAACTGACACACAGCACTGATGATACAAGCAGGCATCAGAGTGGAGACAGTGAACATGGTACCCAATTGGAGCAAAAATACTTACAGGTTTTGAATAAAGGAAAGACAGACTGCATTTAAACATCCCTAAGACATTTCTTCCTTCTTGCATGATAAAATTCTTTCAGACATTAGCAATCACGTTGTAGAAATGACTGTAGAAGGATGTGGCACTGTACAGGTTTCAGAGCCAGTATAAGTAGGGATTGTGAATGAAATTGGTCTATGCCTTATTTTTCTTGGCCCCTTCCTCCTGGACCTCATACCCCTTCATCTCCCTCTCTACCCAGGACTTATCTACTCATAATGCCCCCCATCCTGGGGCAAATGAAATAATGGTGTGAATGTGTACTATAAACTGAAAATGTAAAATGTAATAATTATTATTATCACCCTCAACTCATCAGACTTTCTGAGGGTCAAAGTTTCTATGCTTTTCAAGTTGAGGTGCCCACTAAACAAAGATATGACTTTATTCAGAGAGCTGACAGGTTATGTCACTTTCTCTTTCTCCACTTCTCTTCACCAACCCTCTTCTGCTCTCCTGTCCTGGCTAAAACCCAGAGGTGGCACACGGGAGAAATGACAGGAATTGGTGTGTTCCGATGACAGGTTAAATCAAGGAGAAGTCTTGAGCTCCCCACCCAAGCTGGCAGCCAGGGCCTTACATGTAACACGGGGTGGTTCAGGTCATAAACATCGTGAATTACCTCTGGCACTACACAATCCTTGCACAGTCAAAAACAATTTTTGTGTATGTGATACCAATCCTACTGGTAATATCTCCAAAGGAAATTACAAAAACCACTTCAGATTCTACCTTCTCAAATTCAGATCTCCTTCAACAGGGGATGGTGCTTCTTCATCATCCAGGGTTGTACTTTTGGATCCAGGGTGTCCCAACATGCTGTTCTCAACATTTACCCCTCAAGGATTGTAGGAAGGCAGAGGGCCATAAAACATTTCAGAGGCAAAGTATACATTGCAAAATGACCCATGACATACTGAAAAAAACAAAAGATGAAGAAAGATGGAGAGGGGGTCCTGGAAGGGATGAAAGGTGGAGGCTATGGGCCTCCCAGGTAAGCCTGAAGGCCCTGACCAGATCAAAGGTCTCAGTGACACAAAGCAGAGGCTCCTGGCTGGAAGAAGAACAGGTACTGTAAAGACCAAGTCTATGACCACGTTTTAGAATGTGAAACTTAGACGGCTATGATGTGAGGGTTGTCTAGTTACACAAAGCAGGGAGTTCACATAGGTCACAGTTCCTCCTTTGATTTGGATACAGAAACAATAAATAGTGAGGGTACGTGACAATCAATAAAAACACCAAGCCACCTGAGTGTGAGGAAAACCCTTACTAAACTCAGATGTGAGTATAATCCTGGATTTTTATATGCCCACCATCCACCTCAAAGATCCCATCCTATTACTAAGGGCTCTTATAAGAATTATGCCAGAAACAAGAAAGTCCACTTTATAGGCAGAAAGGGTTGAATTCAAAAGATACAAAGGAACACTAGTCAACAGACCCCTTTTCCCCTTTCTAATACACACCACTGAGGTGTAGTGGTGCCTTCTGGACTGCCATCTTCCTTCCAATGTCCTGAACGGTCTGCTGACCAGAGGAGGGTGTTTGTACCTAGGTTTGTGAGGAAGAGGAAGGAGACCAAGTGGGCCCAGGGCTCTTACACAACCCTCCAAGAGCTGGTCCAGACACCGGTATTCAGGCCCTCCCCTACCTGAAGGATGTATCCCCGGACGTAGTCCCTCAGAGTCCAGCCCAGGCCGTGCAGTATGTGCAGCACTTCCTCTTGCTTCAGGACACTGAAGAGCCGGTCCAGCAGAATCTTTAGCCGCACAGGCACTGCCTGCGTCCCGTAGAGCATCAGGCTGCTGATGTCAAACACCACGTTGGACTGCACAATCTCCACTTGGGTGGGGTGGTACAGGTGCTGCGTGCTGAGCTTATCCAAGGCTGCAGTCGTCCCACCAATGTTCCAGAGTGAGGGGTGGGAATAAAGAGATGAAAAGGACAGAGGAGTTAGATACACAACTGAATGTCATCAGGGCTCCGTTTCTATAGACAATCACAACCATGGATGTTTAAGTGATATTTCCTCTCCGCCTCGATTTTGCTGTCTTTCTTTTTTGGATTTGGTGTTCATACATTGCAGACAACAGTAAACAGCAAACACATTCAACTTTCAGAAAGACAGTCACTAAGAATGTTTTGAAATGACCGGGGCTGGCTCTATAAACCTGAGTAATTAATTTGCCAGCCAAATCACAGCTCAACTCAGGTTTCTGTTGTGTCTACTATTCCTTCAGAAAAAAGGAAAATAATTCCTAACTCATGCTGCAGTAAGAGGAGACTAACTAATACCATTTTTTTTAAAAATGAGATTCACCTAAATGGTTTAAAGGGGAGGATGAGTGTATTCGTAGGAATAAAGGAAAGTTAACACCTATATGGAAGGCTAGAAATTTAACTCAACCTAGCTAAGGGAGATGACCTGAAAACTTAGTTTTCCCAATTTCTCTCTTATTCCCCTGTTAGATAGTTTTTTCTTCACTGGCATGATCTCTGGGAGTTATTTATGGAAAATATCCAAGTCATAATTTAGTCACTTTCTTAACAATTGTGACAAGACTGTCAGATGATAATGAAAACAAATGAGTAAAAATAAAAATCTGGGAAATCCAGCTAACTGCATTAATAATTCTCAAAAGAGAAAACTGAGGATGATCATTCTTCAAATAAGTATTTCAATGAAACTAATAGTTCAACAATGGGGCTTTCCTCTTCTAATATCTAAGAAATGACATTTCTCCCTTGGGAGGAAAAAAAAAGCCTTATTAAGTTAAGGTCGTAAATTCTGATCTAACCCATATCTGAGTTACAGGAAACCCTACTCCTTATAAATACGATTCATTTTGCCTCAGTTTCTCCAGGGTGAATGACTAAGATTATACCATATCAGCTACGGGACTTAAAGAGATGCTGCCAAGACTAGTGAGATGATGAGTGAGAGCCACCTAGAACTTCTTAACAGAACACAAAAGGTGCTGCCATTAACTGTCAGAATTATACACATATATTCTTTTTAAAAATGTTTTTAAACATTGATGGACTTTTATTTTACTCATATATTTGTGTGTGGTGCTGAGAATCAAACCCAGTGCCTCACACATGCTAGGCAAGAGCTCTACCACTGAGCCACAACCCCAGCCCACACATATATTCTTTAAGAGATTAAAAGAGAGAAAAATGTGTATCTGAAAGATGGCCATCTAACCTCTGGAGTCAGGCAAATGGATACTGAAGAACATGGTGGCCCACATCACAACTATACCTGAGAGGACCTCAGTGCCCTTCAAATTCTAAGCTATAGCGTGGCCTCTCTCTAGTGCTTCTCCTAAAACCTCACCCTGTAACAGTATGAGCAACAGTATGTGTACAATCTGAGCAACCCCTATTTTAACATACCAGTATTAGCACATAATAATGGAAGAATTCAAAAGTACACGCACACAGGTTTTTTTTTTTTTTTTTTTTTTTTTTTTTAGTATTTCTAATGTATTTTTTCAGAACTCCTCCTCCACTCTCGTTTCCTCCTGACTTGTGGTCACTGGAGAGTTCATGTACTCTTGATAAATTGCTTTCTTACATCCACAGTGTAAAGGCCCTTATCATTTACCCGCTGGCTTCATTCAACACATTTACTCCCAGGAATACTTTGTCAAAGAGTTCGGGTTTCCTCATACTTCATTTCTTGCAGCTGATTTGTCTGATCTTTCCTATTCTAGTGGTTAAGTCAACTTTGAATAAATAGCTTTAAAAATTAATTTAACGTTTGGGAAAGATAAGGGATTCACAAGCCTAGAGATTGAAGTCTTCTCTCACTCCACAGGGCATTTAGGCTGCAAAAACAGCAGGAAAGGGGTATTATTATCCTTGTTCTTCTTCAAGTACAGCTTAACCATGCAGCCTTCTGATGAGTGGCTGATCTGCTTACAGAATCGAGTGATGGATTAGGGGAATTCTGCTCCTCCCCCCTTTCACCACCCTCCTGAACCTCACCAAATACTTCTTTGTAAAATACACTGCTATGGCCACAACAACTATGAAACTGAGAGGATTCCTCAGGGGGGAAAAGACAGCACATCCTGGTTTTTAAGAGTGTGTTTGGTACTCTGTGTCTGCATTAAGTGTACACAGGAGAAGGGAAAACTATGTTCCAGTGCTGCAAAGAAAACTGTCACCTCCCTTTCCCAAATCCCCGCAAGAGTCTGGTGATTTGAAAAGATGAAGAGAACTAAATCACAGAGGGTACAGAAAAGAGTTTAGTCAAATGTAAAAGCACAGGTAAAATAGGTAAGGCAAAAATATTTCCACCAAAACAGTTTTTGGAACTCCAGTGAGATATTACCCAATTCTTCTTCATGGTTATATGCTATGTCAGAAAGAAGGGATACAGATATATATTCATAAATATACAACAGGGGCCAACAACTTATTCTATAAATGCCCAATACATAGTAAATATTTTAGGCCTGTGGGCCACACATTCTCTTTTTCAACTACTCACCTCTTATGTTACAGCAGGAAAGCAGCCATACATAGGTAAGTGTTCCAATAAAACTTTATTCACAGAAACAGGCTACCTGGGCAGCCTGTTTAGGCCCTGATATAGAGATGGAAATGTGGGGCCAGTAATAATGAAAAAGTCCTAAGAGTAGATAATGAAAAAGCTAAAGGGTACAGTGGTGCACCCCTATAACCCCAGAAACTTCTAGCTACTCTGGAGGCTAAGGCAGGAGGATTCCAAGTTTGGCAACTTTCTCAAAATGAAAGATAAAAAGGGCTGAAAATGAAGCTCAGTGGTAGATTATCCTGGGGTTCAATCCCTGGTAAAAATACACACACTCTAGTTCAGGCAGCGACTGTCTAGAAGATGAATCATAGGTGAGGATGTGAACAATAAACTGCTTAACTTGGAGATACCAGCTGTAATTTTCAGCATGATTGTGACAATATTTGGGAAGGTATCCTTGAAGGCACAAAGGCTAAGCAATGACATTTAAGTGTCATGATATCCACAAACTGAACTGGGCTTTGGAGTAATTTCATGACCATCATATATCTGTGGAGCATTTGGTTCTGAATCTTGTAGTGTCAGGAACATGAGTTAGGTCAAAGAGGTGAGAAAGAATCAGGGCAATAACTTTTTCCTCAGGATGGAGTGGGGAAAGATGTCACCTATTTTAATATTTATAGGTTTAAACATTTGCTAAAAATTTTTTATACCCAAAGTGTTACCATGATTCCATGTCCAAATGAAATCTCAACCAGAAGTTGGGTACAAAAAATATATATAAAATTGAGTTTCTCTCAGTAAAGTTAGAGTGAGCATGGATTAAAGAACTTCCAATTATTTGTTACTCCCCTCTTCAACTTGCTTAAGTATCTCACTAGGGCAGACCCTGGAAACATGAAAAGCACTTTTCTATACAGTACGACAAATATCAATTGCTCTGCATGCTCTGTGTTCATTCCCCTTCAATCTGGGGATAGAAACTAGAATTCTCCTTAGGGAATTTCTCCCCTCACCCTTAGAATCAATATTTCATAGAACTGAGTAATACTTAGCCAGTCCTGGAAAACAAGTATATCCCTGCCTCCTGGAATCAAGAATGGTTCAAGAATAGGCAAGTGACCAAAGTCTAGAAAGTGAGACTGAATCCAGGATTTTAGTCAGAAATGCTGAGAATTTCTTCTTTTTTCTCTTAAACTTTTAGCTAACAAATACACATTGAGAATGTGAATCAACTAGGCGGCAAAATGATCTAAAAAAAGATCAACTACTCATAATATTAAACAATATTGTTTGATCCAGAAGATATGACAGTGTCTTAGGTTGATACTATCACTAGAATATTCAGTTACATAAAAAACATAATCCCTCTCTCTTTCCTTGAAATAGCATTTCCTACAGCTACCATTCTCCAGCTGGATAACATGTAATTGTCATGCTGTCAGTGGTTCAACTAAAGGTGCATTAGTTTCAGGCCAAATGCAATTCATAATTTCTGCAATGCCTGGAATGAGGAGTATCCTAAAAATTCATATCTTATAAAATATTGACAAAGGGTGATGTTTTCAACTGCATTAGTAAAGAAAAATAATGGTGAGGGAGGCTAAAGGAAATTACTATTTAAGCATCAACTATATGACAGGTATCATTCTAGGAGTTCATAAGTTTAATCTCTTAATTAAAACACAACGTATTACAATTATAACCTATTCCAAGATCACAGGCTCAATGGGGCTAGGTAACTGGTCAAAGGTCACTTAACAATTTCACCACAGGTAAATTCTGTTTGCACGACATGTACAGATAAACAGTAAGAAACTTGCAAGTTTTCATCATGCTGGGAGTCCCTAACTCCCTGAAATCTGGGCTTCTTGCCCATCACTCTGCTGAGGCAAGCATTTCAAAGGTCACCAACACCTGCCTTACTGTGAAATCCAATAGCTTTTTTCCTTCATTATTCTCCATGATCTCTCCATAGCAGCTGACCTTATTGATCCTCACTCCCCCTAAGATGCTCTCTTCCTTCATTCATGCATACATTCATTTATTCACCACCACCTATTAACTTATCACTGAGATAGGTGCTGTATGCAGATGAAAAAGTAATTTATGGTGTGGCCTCTGCCTTCAAAGATAGACAGATGCAAGTGATGTAAATGCTATAAAAAGAGATGGCACAAGGAAGAGAGGGCAACTCTACTGGGAAGGCATTGTTTAGTAAGATAACTAGAGTCAGCAGGTGAGAAAGGAGGTGAGCAACACAGACTGCAGTGCGTCAGAACCACTTGGACTGCCTGCTAAAACAGATTGCTGGGCCATCTCTTCCACAGCTTCTGCTTCAGAGAGTCTGAGATGTGAGCCGAGAATCTGCATTGCTAAC